GGAAGAGCGATAACGAGCACGAGCAATAGAAGAGGAAAAAAAGAGGTAGAGAGGCAAAAAGGAATCAAGTGGCGATATAATTACTGACACAATGCGTCAGGTGAGCGGAAGATTCGGCGACGAACGGTGAATAAAAGAGGATGAAAGATCCGCATTTCAAATACGGAACACGCGAGATATAAAGTCCGCGCGAATGTAAGGCTGGAACAAAAGTTGACGTACAGATACCAACTACCGGCGACGTGTTGCGTGTCTCTCGTTTGCAACAATAAATTCGAAACTAGACTCGAGCCACTTTCGCGATGAATGGCGTAGTTAGATTGGCTATAGAGAGGTACGTACGGTTTTAAAATAAACGCGCACACGGTATAATTATGTGGAGCAGTTTATAATAGACTTTCGGTAGACTCCGTTATCGGTTATCATGAAGCTTTCCCACGCAAAATGACGCACGAGAGGCAGCCAGCGACGAACTCCTTCGATCTAGAAAAAAATTACTATTCTCGTCCAGGACATCGTAAAAAATTTTTTAAAAATTTCAGACACATTTTTGTCTGTATTTTCAGATCTGGGTGTCTGCAAAAAAAGCTGCAGAAATTTTAGTCAGTTTTTTTTACAGTATATCTCGAGCATTGGCATATTTAATTTTGGCAGCGAGCGATAAAGATAACATTGTCAGCTCGCGGAGAGTTAAACACTACACCTACTCAGCATGTTTAGGGTAAAATGTGTGACCGTCCAATTCCGGGGATTCTGTTTGCTCTCGAAAAGTTTAATGTAAACGTTGTATGGTCTGACAGAATTGAGTTCATTAACTGCAGACAGAGTAGGATGCCAATGAAATAAAGATATGTTCATGTTAAATTCAACTATTAATTAAAACTGAAAATATCATATGTAATTGCGTACAACTAAAATTTATAATTATATGTAATAAGCAAGCGTATAATTAAAATCAAATCGCAATATATATATCTCTGTATAAATTATATGAGACTTCAAATTTTTTATACTAGCAAAAATTAACTTTTTAGAATTATTTTTTTGCAACAATAGTTTTTGTAACAGATAAATAAATTATTAAAATTGTTAAAATCTAATTCAATTTTTGCCATCTCATTTTTCGATATAAATTTGTCAGAAAATTAGGTCACACCGTACGCGCGTTACTCTATAAATTAACGAGATCGTAAGAAGAAGTTAAAACAAACCATCTTGTTTGAAACTTTTATCATCACTTTTTTTCGCGGCCGAGGTAAAAAGCTTTCAAGTACATGAGAAAAATCTCTTGCTAGTCCCTGACGTGCAAAGATAATCCAAACAATATACATTAACTTTATTTTAAGAGGATTCGCTTTTTCTAGGCATTTCTCGCTTACAAATAGAAGTACATGTATAGATGCAAAAACTTGTTGTTACTTTATACATTGTATAAAAATAATTCTAACAATATATAATTCGAGTAATGTAGAATATGTTTTTTATCGTAAAAATAAAAAAGTTTAAGTACGCCACATAAACGTGCATATAAATATATATATCAACTATTAATTAAAACTGAAAATATCATATGTAATTGCGTACAACTAAAATTTATAATTATATGTAATAAGCAAGCGTATAATTAAAATCAAATCGCAATATATATATCTCTGTATAAATTATATGAGACTTCAAATTTTTTATACTAGCAAAAATTAACTTTTTAGAATTATTTTTTTGCAACAATAGTTTTTGTAACAGATAAATAAATTATTAAAATTGTTAAAATCTAATTCAATTTTTGCCATCTCATTTTTCGATATAAATTTGTCAGAAAATTAGGTCACACCGTACGCGCGTTACTCTATAAATTAACGAGATCGTAAGAAGAAGTTAAAACAAACCATCTTGTTTGAAACTTTTATCATCACTTTTTTTCGCGGCCGAGGTAAAAAGCTTTCAAGTACATGAGAAAAATCTCTTGCTAGTCCCTGACGTGCAAAGATAATCTAAACAATATACATTAACTTTATTTTAAGAGGATTCGCTTTTTCTAGGCATTTCTCGCTTACAAATAGAAGTACATGTATAGATGCAAAAACTTGTTGTTACTTTATACATTGTATAAAAATAATTCTAACAATATATAATTCGAGTAATGTAGAATATGTTTTTTATCGTAAAAATAAAAAAGTTTAAGTACGCCACATAAACGTGCATATAAATATATATATACACACACACACACACCCAACATTTTTCTAAAAATAATTTATATAATAATGCTAATAATTTTTTTATCAGCATCTTCTTCTTCATCAATGTCTCGTATTATATATGATATTTTTTATTGTCAATTCCCGCGACGTTGATTAACTTCAATCTTGGTTTACTATCTGTGTCATGATCGTATCTGTGATTTAGAGAGAGAATGAATTCAGTTAACTTCAATTAAGGTTAACCAGAGTCAGAGACATCGATTCTTAAAATGATTGCCCATAGATCTATAATAGTAACACGCCAATTACTTTGATTGCGCGAACTCGCATGTTAAGGCTAAATTACACGGAAAAAATATCTGACCGTATTTCAACAATATATCCATTTCTCGATTAACGCGTTGCATTTTTCATGCATTTTTACTTAAATATTTATTTAAATCTAAAGATTTAGAATCTAAATCTTAATCTAAAGATTAAGATAATCCCTCTGTGTGTTTACTGTATATGTATATTGTAATAAAAAGTTTAAATAATAAAAAATTAATTTTATAAGCAACACTACACACACACGTGTAATTTATTTTACAATTTACGATGTGACGTTACTGATAATTCATTCACATTTAATATTCGCCCGTGATTATCCATCGTATTTCTAAGAAGTTAGTTTTCGGATTAGCCGTTTAATTTCCCCGATTGTTCTCAGATTAAAATAGCGATGCCAATTCGGGCTTTAGACTTTAGGATATACATACGCGACCGTGGGTGGTAACCGGCTTGCAACTGCGTGGCGGGAGAAACGGCCACTTGGCAGGGGAATAATAACGAGAGTCGGACTGACACACGCACGGGCGGGCGTGCAAAGAGCCGAAGCCGGAGACGGAGAGGCTTTATAAATCGCGAGGATGCACGTCGAAGCAGTGACACCTCGGCCGACGAACGGTGAAAAACGCGCACATCGCGAGCGCGTCTCCTTTACACTTAACGCTTTAAGTAAGTGTCGTGTATCCGAGCGGGGGGAGAACGCGGATTAAAACTTCTCCGGTACGATTAAAACTTTTCTCGCCAACGACATGGAAAAGTTTCCTCCTCGCGCTCGATGATCGACGCCGACCGATCGCGTTGTACTTTCCTCGTGAAAAGGTGGCGAAAAACTTGTTCCATCTTACGGAGAAACACGATTGGAAGCAGGGCACGATTCGCGAAGTATCGCGATTAATTTACCACCCGAGTCGCTTTATCAATCTCCATCTGGTATTTCGGCGGGAACCGAAATAACGAATTTCCCGATATCGATACAACAACAACTCGACGATTCAATAACTCGACTGCCATATTGCCAGCACCTTAACACCGGCTCGTTCACGTCGGGTCCGTTCAATCGGTTAACTTCCCCGGAAACAGATCGACCGGAATCTCGCCAACCCGGAGGAAGATTACGAGATTCTTCGAAGCGCTCCGGGGCTGCAATCGCATCGATCGTCGCAAATTGGATTGCCGCTAAAACCTGGCAAGGGGAACCTCACCTTGGAGCCGAGCAGACTCGCGTTCAGTGCCGCGGGCATCGACGCAAAAGTTTCCGCAACGAGAAAGAGAGAGAGAGAGCGCCGTTTTGCACCTGGGATACGCGCCGTAAATGAGCGTAATCGAGAAAGGGTAATTGACAAAGACGTGCACGTGTGCACGGATGAGACTTGTTGGCACGGATTAGAGCTAATTAACGGTGACTCCAACAAGCAGGTAAGTACAATTTTTTAAAAATATAAAGCTATCAAAATAATTGCGTGCACAGTTGGCAAATTTATTTTCTTGTTAAAAAAATATGCCAGTTAAAATTTTTGTGTTAAATATTTAACACATTCATGTGTTAATTTAATTTAATATTGCTGTTGTATTAATTGCACTCAAATGTTAAATTATTAAAACAACTGAAAAAAAAAAAAATGTAAAAATAATACAATGTGGATTTATCTGTTAAAATTTACAGAAAAAAATGTTGATTTTATTTTACAATAGGAATATATATTATAAATATTTACTGATTGGAAAAAAGACGCAAAAAGATACGAAATAATTATATACCCATAATAAATTTTCTTTCCACTGACAAGTGACATAGATAATTCTCGTGTCTTTTATCATATTTTCTGTTAATGAGACGTGTAACGAGCTTGGCATACAACGGATAATAACGCATGCAGGTAACCACAAAAAGGTTGACTTTACTGGAAAAATTTAATAGCCTCTCTATATGTGATCCGCGTCCCGTATATGATTGCATATATAATTAAACGCGGTCGCATCTTGATAGTCGCATAGGAATTTATAAAGCCTATTTTAATTACATTATCATAAATGGAGATCAATTGAAAATCCTATTAAAGCATTATGCAAATTTAATAACTATTAATTAACAGGTACTACGAAATGCTGGTATGTAGTCACGTATCGTGGCTCTGCTGACGTAATTATCGGCGTTTAATCACTTTGGAATAACTAGCTCTTATCGAAAGATTTTGATTTAAACGGGCATTCGCGCGTTGCCCATCGCACAATATTAGAGATATACCGACGTAAATTAAAAGTAAAGCGATACTTAGTTTCTTCAGGGTTATCCGACGTGCACGATAATACGTGATAAACAGAACATTCTGGAAAGAATTATTAACTGACAGTTTTGCAAATGTTATTAATTGAATATTTTTCTACTTAAGCATAGGGTCTCATCTAATCCATTATTATAATATTTCAAAAAACATGATAATTCTTCTTTAATATACAAAATTATGCCTTGTTAAATAGCGTAAAATTTTTATAAATATATTTATAGCATAAACTTGTCTCTGAACAGATCTCTGTACGAATTTCTTTTATATATTTCTTGTAATTCACGTTTTTTTCGATTCTCATAAATTTTACCAATACACTTTATATGAAAAACGATAGAATTACTCATTTTATGATATATATTCGCGCGATAGATGATCATAAATATTTAGAAAAAGACTATTACAAAGTCAAAAGCATCAAAATATTAAATTAAACGTCAAACTATAATATGTGTTACAATTACATCATGCAAAAATCAAATTTTGATGTAATATTTGCAATGAAAATCACAGACTTTTTTAATTTTAAATAAAAATAAACATCCGAGAGAAGCCTATGGATATTGAAGGGATTGAAATTTTTTTCTGAAAGAAAAACTTCCAGTTGTGTGACAAGTATATATAATCACCTGTTTAATAGCCGGCAATTACTCGAGCTATCTTATAACTCTCTCGATATAAGCTAACTTCCGCTTCGATTGATCCCGCCGACAATATATTTGCCGTGTAAAATTATCGTGAATTATCGTTAATCAGCGTTGACAAGATAGAAAAAAAATCTACGCGAGGCTGTTGCTCCTTATCGCCGTTTCGATCCGCGAAGAGAGAGTCTGTTTATTGAAATATTATTGACGTGCCGCTCAGGCGTTATCGCGCGCGCATTCTCGACCGTTGTATCAATCGTTGCGTTCTCGCATTAATGAGATCTATAATTACGAACGTATAATTACAACAGAGTGGCGGTTTGCCCAAGGCGACGATCACGCGTTGCGACGTCGTCCGCAATCGAAAACTGCCGCGACCTCGTCAAGAAACATAGCAATTTCGGCTTTCTCGTCGTTAAATCGTTCTATCCTTTTCCTCTGTGTTTCTCGTATCAATTATTTCATAAGTTTCATAAAATTAGAATACGTATATTAAAATAAAAAACGCATTTACTTCATATACATTTATATATATANNNTATAATATTTATTCAAATATAATATTCGAAAATTGTTTAATCAAATGTGTTCGATTATATTTTAAGCACTATCAAAAAACAAAGATAAAAATTTAATATATATTCCAGTTTCAGTGGCACACATTTCAAATGCATTTGAAATGCTATTGATAATAACCATTTAAATAGTTTCACTTAAATAAAACATTACATGAGATTAAATGGTTATTTCAAATATTATGTAATAAAGAAAATAATTAGATAAATGATAAAATAAAAAAAAAACGAATCTAAGAAATATAATCCGCATTAGAGGCAAATAAATAGTATATGTAAACACATTTCATGAAATAAAGTAGTATAAACGCAATTTTATGAGTAAATAGCATTCACATATTTTACTGTCATATAATAATAGCAATAATTTTAATTAATGATTTAAAATCCCGAACAAGAAATACAGATTTGAAATATTTATTTCTGATTCGTAAAATCAAATAAATATTCAAAAATAACATTTTAATTAATATAGATTATTTTATTTCACAATAATCATTTATAAATCATGAATGGCGAGAAATAGCTTACATAAATATTTTTCTTTTCCATTAATTCTGTTTTGCTTACTTTTAGTTCTATGAAATTAAAAAAGAAATCATATATCTCATCTTTTTACGATCATCATAAATTAATGCGGTTTGTTTTTATTAAAACCTGGTCCAAGGTCGATCATCCAGAATTGGATATTTATGTTTCTCGCGTGAAAAAATATACGACGTTGAATACAGCAGTGATCTCATGGATGCTTGACACGCTCGTTTCATGCCAGCAGCCACAACGATCTTTCTGACTGTCATTGAGAGCATATGCCGTTATGTTAGCAATATGGGGCCCCGCTGACAAGGTCGCGCGATTTAATCGTAGACTTGTGAAACGATTCCTTCGAGATTGCGTCAATGGAGCCGTGTCGAAGCAACGTCATCATGTAAATAATGTTACAGATCTCGGTTGTCGATCATAAGTAACGGACGCGCGTTTATAACGATGAAAGAACTTGTTGTCAAGTTATGATTTATCAGATGAAGGTTACAAACAGTAAAAAAGTACTTCATTGCGAAATAATGAATAAATGCAATTAGAAGCATATAATTAGTTGTAATTGAGATGGCAATTAAATCAATTAAAATTACGAAATTAAGTTCTATTATCGTGTTAATTAGAACAGATTTCGTTATTGAATTTATCATGCCTCGCATTTGAAATAATTTCCATGAAATAATAGTCAGCATATTTTTTTATTAATAAAGATTTATTATTAGTTAATTTATATATTATTATATATTATTAGTATATAATAATAGCTATATTATTAGGTAATTTAATAAAGATTTAATTAAAGCTTTCAAATATGATTATTTAGAACAATTTAATTACATAATAAATAATATCGCTACTATCTTTCTTATGGGAAGGGAAAAAAAGAGAGAGAGAGAATAAATTTATACTTTTTATGATAAAAAAAATATTGCTCAAGTAAATAATATTTAAGTAAGTCTTATTGTGCGAGGGTTCATCTATATTAATTTATTTCTATTTATTTATATTTCTCTCTTTCTTAAAATATGCCTAACCACATATTTTCTAGGTTCTTCGGGGCTTTATCGAATAAATAAATTTCTGTACTTTATATCCTTCCGCCTCTCTCAGAGGCGGAGGCCATATTTGACGTTTTAAAAGTGCCAAGGAAAGCAAGTCCCCCTTTCTCACCGTTTCCTCGAAATCGCGACGATAAAACGCTAACGCAAACCTTTCGTCGTTTCTCTTAATGTTGCCCTGAAGCGCATCTCGAATGCACGCGCGCGCATGCAGATTAACCGTTATGCATCGCACTATAATAATAGCTATATTATTAGGTAATTTAATAAAGATTTAATTAAAGCTTTCAAATATGATTATTTAGAACAATTTAATTACATAATAAATAATATCGCTACTATCTTTCTTATGGGAAGGGAAAAAAAGAGAGAGAGAGAATAAATTTATACTTTTTATGATAAAAAAAATATTGCTCAAGTAAATAATATTTAAGTAAGTCTTATTGTGCGAGGGTTCATCTATATTAATTTATTTCTATTTATTTATATTTCTCTCTTTCTTAAAATATGCCTAACCACATATTTTCTAGGTTCTTCGGGGCTTTATCGAATAAATAAATTTCTGTACTTTATATCCTTCCGCCTCTCTCAGAGGCGGAGGCCATATTTGACGTTTTAAAAGTGCCAAGGAAAGCAAGTCCCCCTTTCTCACCGTTTCCTCGAAATCGCGACGATAAAACGCTAACGCAAACCTTTCGTCGTTTCTCTTAATGTTGCCCTGAAGCGCATCTCGAATGCACGCGCGCGCATGCAGATTAACCGTTATGCATCGCACCGTTGTGGCTTATCGACAACCCAGCGCATGTTGGTCGTCCGATAGGTCGAAATTTTCCGGATGAGCGAATCGCACACGAAGCGCCCCGCGAAATCGACAATAAATCCCCACAGTCGGTACACGACAGGAGCACCTATTTCCCTTGCCCAGGTTACATCAATGCGCGAGCTGTCGTAGCTCGCGACAAAAAATTTCCTCTCGCCTTGGACACCATCCTGCTCGTCCTCGTCCTCCACGTCCTCCACCTCCGCCGGGGATGCACGCTTATCGATCAGGAACTGCACCTGTATAGCCGAGTAACGCGGTTTACGTCGCGTATATAAATGCTAAACACCCGGGCTCTATTCGTGAAATATCGCCCTCTTCAACCGACTATTTTCGTCCTTGCAAGACAATAGGAAGAAAGTTTTATTTATATTATCGTATTTAAAGATTGCGCGAAAAAATATTCCATCTAACAAATTGCCTTGAGCTTAAATGATAATTTAAATTTCGGATATTCGCTCTACGCACGCATATATTTACAAGATAGCGTTTGT